TATAATATGCCTTTATGCTGGATTGTATTGTCGAAAAAGCGGTTGTACTACAACTTGTAGGTTCACAGATTGGAGGGCTTGAATAAGTCATCATTACGTCACATGTTGACGAAAACATCTACCTCTTTCTTGCATCTGATAGCTCATTGAATATAAATAATTTTTGGCTCTCACCGTTACTTTCGCTTTGTTACCACCACGTGAGCCTTCGATCCTTGAGCTTTCGATTCTTTGATGGCCAGTGAGAAATCAGTTTCGTTAACAAAATCTTTGATAGAACCACACACGTGACGTAAATGGTGATGGTATGACTGAAGTACAAAAATACGTCCACTTCCCGAATATATTGTCTGATCCGATGTTTATGCATAGGAGGTGCCAAAAATCTCCATAAAACAGGGTTTATTCTTTCTGTCTTTACTCTAGCTAACAACTGTCAAAATAGCTGAAATAGAGGTACATGTTTCGGTCTAAAAATGATTGAAATTTCCATTCCTTATATTTCCCTACTGTCGAGGATAATTATCACATGCCTTTACACCAAATATCATTTTCTTGAAATGTGTGTTACAAGTATCGAATTTCTCGCCAAATTATAGTGCACTGAGATTGATGGAAAGGAAACGTGACATGTTACATTTAACCATGTTATTTATACAAAATCTCATAATTCTTTACAATAACTCACTGTCTCGATCTTCAATTAAAATGAGAGAATTCGAACTATTTAATTTTTGCCGGTATCAAGTAACCATTGTTTTAAATACACAATACTGTAATTTTGATTTTTTTTTAGAGCTGTTGGTTGTAAAAGACTAACATTAGCAAAATATTGTGGGGTTTTTCTGTATTTATATCGAAATATGTGATGAAGTCGAGTAACACACCCACTATGAGATTTTGTTGAGACATTTGCAAGCATTGAATATGTAACATTTATTGATGAGCGGAATAAAATAATCATTTAAAATGGAACAAGGGAAATAACTCAAATTATATTATTTTTATATCGGCAAAACCTTTTCAATATTTCATTTGAGTGTGTACAACCTTAGTGGGACATTCGCCATTGTCGTTGGTTGATTTGGGTCTTGAATATAAGGGTCAGACTAACTAGAAATGTACGAAAATCGCATTTCCTGGGAATATCTCAAATTCTGAAGAAAAGACGCGAGTCGTCTTTTAAACTTTGAAATGCGGCTAATTCTCATATAGCTCGAATTTCGACGTGGGCTGTGAATACTATTACTGATAGATTTAGCCAACTAAATTCCAATTCTTACAAAATAGTAAAAATACTTACTCGTATATACAAACGAACCATTGGTCAAAATCGAGTTTTATGAGCTGGATAAGTGAATATTAAAAGGATTAAGTCTTTTATACATACTCCTGTACTCTTAAATAGACCATTTTGATATTCTGGTAGTGGTAGACTACACCTCCTTTGATAGGGGATAAACAATGATAAGTTAACACCGTAAATTACTTACCACTGCCTAATTATTCTATATATTCACATGTTTACAAATCTTTGCAGAAATCTTGTATGTGCCCACTGATACCGTCTAGGGTTTAACAGATAAGGTAGCCGTGCTTTCGTGTGAAGGTGTGTTGTCTCATGTTTATACGTGAATTTGTTCAATTCGTTTGTGATAAGTATGTAGAGATAAAGTGCTTGGAAAATGAGTGTCGAAATAGTCATTTCCTGTATAGATGGATATCTATATATCTGTTAGTCGCCTTTGATTTTTCTTACAATTTTTATAGTCATGACACACCGGCTTGGTCAGGCGACATATTTTTCAACGAGATTTATGGAAAAAGTCATCGAATTACTGGAGTCTTGTATGTTTAAGATTTGGTTTTAAGAACGAAAGGTAGAGCAGTATTACCTCCCTTCAATAGTTTATAGTATACACAGACGTTCTGATTATATTGTATATTGAAATATATTTATATATACATCATAATTATGCTGATTGCTTGGCAGCGGCGACGCAAGCTTCCCGAGACTATATACGGGTACAAACAGGGGGGCAGACAAATGTCATAGCTGAAATCAAAATGCGACAACTCATGGAGACGTCATAGTCGGAAGTATTTCATATAGCGTCGGTAAAACTGAATGGTTAACCTACATTAAAAGTGGTTATCGATAAAACTGTTTCAATAATTGTACCAAGCAACAAGTCCCTAATGACTTGAAAGATACCGATGCATTGTTGTGAGATTTTAACGCTTTCGGTTAACTAATGGACTTCCGCTTTTTACCGACAACCTCAGTAAAATCAAGATCTTTCATGTCAAATGAAATGTTGCACACAACTTGTCGACTGTTTGCTTAGTATAACTGAAGCAATCACTTTTAATGTAGACGAACAGTTGACCGATGACATCATAACCGACACTAAAGCTATATAACGATGCATTTCGTATGTTATGTTAGACTACGTGTTCGTCGACAAAACTGAAACGTTACACCCCTTGTCAAAATGGTCACGCTACTGAGGTTACTAACAACATTACATCTGGCAGAATCTTAGAGCAACTTGATTTTCAACTAGATAATTAGATTTTCAACTAGTTTAACTCGACCTGACAGCACCGACAGTTTGCCATCAGTTAAGACCGGCATCTGATCATGTCGTCCACCATCCAGTTGTTCGTATAAGTAACCAATTTATCCATATTATGTGCAAGATACAGTTAGAACCTTTGCTTCACTAGTCTACCCGAGCAACATCGTGTCCAAACCACACCCCCATTCGTCATACTTCCTCGAGTTAATAAGACAATGTCCAAACCCGTATTCGTGATACGCTGTCTGAGCCAAAGCTTCGCGATCTTCCGATTTGTTGCTTACAGGCATAAAGGGGTGCAACTGATTTCTGCTTACTCACCAAAACAACTGACTCTATTACAGCCTCTAGAAGCTATTTTGAAAGTTGAAGGCAGGTGGAGGTTGGAAAAGAGGCAGATGTTTAGGACTAATGTACTACAAGCAAGTTGACAACAATAAACACAAAGATTTGAAAAGGATGAGGTTAGAAAAAAGTGGTTGGGAATATATAATAGGTTTTTAGAAAATATATTTTAATAACAAATAAATTTTTGTTCATCGTAGCATATCATGACAACAGCTGCAACTTTATGGTTGATAATATCACACATCGCTATACATATATACATCGCTGTTAAAGGGACAAATCCTACTTTAGTCTTTGGAATTTTCTAGCTATACACTAATCAGTAATAGTGTTCACAGCTGGCCCTCGACATTTTGAGCCTTCAAATCGATCTGGGTTGCAGAATTATCCGCATTGGAAAGTTAAAAGGACGACGAGCTATTTTAGACTACCATAATATAAAAATACATATTATTTAGAAAGAAAAATTGAAATTTCTAGTTTCAGGTATATTTGAAGAGATAATGCATTTCTTGTCCTTTTTTTTAAGTATTTGCATATATTCAAGAATGTGCGAAAATGTCCCTTTAATACTGCAATAATAATTGCAAGTATAGAAATTCTCATCTAGTCTTTCTCACTATATTATACACATTATTCATGCATCAGGTATCTGTTCATAATAATACTTATTTACTAAGTATATTATTTCATATAAATTGGTTTACCCTTGACACGTTTTATACGCAGAGTTGTTATGATGAACAAAAATTCGAAAATACGAACGTTTTTGAAAAAGTACGAAAAAAATTAATTCGTAAAAAATGAGATGCTCCCTCAAGGGATCAGTAGCGTTTCTATGGGGGGAAGGTGTGGTTGGCCCTTTTTTACTTGCATGGCTTTTGCCCCCGGTTTCAAATTTCAAAACATTGAGTTTTAAAATGCCGGGTGCTATTGCAAGTTTTCTTCTTGGATAGAAGTAAAGAAAGAAACAACTAGACTGTAGACATTAACAAGCATAACAAGTCGGGCTCACGGATCTTTTCTAACAGTTGGTCCTCTACCAAACCTCTTGGCGTTGATTTTTCCCAGGTTATCCAAAAGTGCTTGATCGACTGGATTTATGATGAAGATAACTTATTTCAGGTTCGTTGGACTTTCACACTCCCGTTTAAGATTAGAACCTACATCCATCATTGTTCGAGTAACCATGCAAATTAGGTACTACAGAAACTCATGTTTGATTTGATATTTGATCCTTACTTTGGCGTTACTTTACGCAATATCCGTTAACATTTTGGCACACTCGGTATTATCAAAGGTTAAAACTTCACAATTTTCTAGTTTTTCTGGCAGTTTGCAGTCGCTTATAGTTAGTGTTTTTGTTTTGTGGAAAAACCGTATTAATAATGCTGTTACTGAACAGGTCATCAAGAAGGTTGCTGAAAAATGCAAAAGAAATATGTGTAATTATCGCTTTCAAACGGTAGGGAACGTCAAAGAGAACCAAAATATTGTGTGATATAGCAACAATAAGAAACGGGACAATTTTAACAGTTGTCGGCTGGAGTAGGGTTAGAAAAACTAGGCTATGTTTTATGAGAATTTTCCAACCTCCAAAGTACTGAGCCTTTGATGGAACTGCAGATGTGCCCAATTCTATTATTTAAAGTAAATCTTACCTGCCACTGCAAATGTGTAATATTTTCCTTTAATATAATATCTGAGTGAATCTGTATTAGAATAGAATGCAAAAGGTTAGGTTCAGTGGCGGCGCTATCCTACCGAGACTGGGGGTAGAAGTACGAGACAGACTGTCCAACGAGGGGACAACTGTTGCGGCTAAATTCAAAATTGGTCTTGTGGCCTCCAGTGGAACGTCTGAGAAAAGTGTCAGCATCCCCCCTACTTTATTATGATCTTTTCGGGCAGCAACCGAAAAAACCTTGGTCAGACAAGTAGTGTTTGATATACATGTATTCCAATTTAATCAAGGGCAATAACTCAGCAACAAGTTCACGAAAAAACTGTTTGTCGGGAGTCGAGTGATATACAAAACTTTCATAAAATAATCATTAAAAAATCAAAACATCAATGTAAAAACATACCGGTAAAGGGAGGTCCAGACATATAACCGAATCCAGCACAGACCATGGTCACACCGTATACTGTTGACAATCTATGTAAACCGGCAATTTCTACCACTAATGTATGTTGTAACGACCATGTTCCACCCGTATAAAATCCTAACACAGCCGCATACATAATTTTAACAGCCAAGCTTTTCATTTCACCAATAAAAAACGTCATTGTACCTATAGTTCCAAATAGTCCAAAGAGCACCAATGCTGGGTCTAAGATTGTTCCTATGAATCCCAGGAATATTCTTGATAATATTCCTGTAATTCCTACCACTGACATAATAAACGCTGCTTCACCATGTGTAGAACCCATGTAAATATTAAATTCGGGTAAAAACAGAAATATGATTGATAATGAAGCTCCAAGAAACCAGGAATTGATAAGAAGGCACCAAAGTCCAACTGATTTTAATAATGGCTGACTTTCATTCCGGATGGCTTTCCTCTCAACTTCATGGTTGCCTTTTCTGCAGCAACTGAATCCCATCGAAGTTTGGTCAAATTTTGTTGGTCTCATTAGCGAACCACCAACTGCAGCTTGGAATCCTATGGCGCCAAACATTAGAAATGTTCCCCGTATTCCATACTCCTCCAAGAGATATTGTGTCAAAACTGGGAAGATAAACAGTGCCAATCCAGAAGCACTGGTCGCTATACCAGTTGCCATGCTTGTCTTTTCTTTAAAATAATACCCCAAAATAACCATAGAAGACATCAACGTAATGGACTGACCAATTCCTGAAAAAAAATCAGATTTTCAAATCAATTTTTTTCTTTTTCAAGTTTCCAATTAACACTTTTAGTTGGAACCTAAACAGTTTAATCAAAATTAGACCAAACTTTCGCTATGTTTTTGTTAACTCATCTGTTTGATAACACCCCCAAACAATCAACTGTTTTGCAATATTAGCCAATTTATTTAATTGGCAACATTACTTGCTACTGAGCTTTCTTTCGCGAACAAAAATTTGACGTTTTCTGTAACTTTCCTGCCAAATTTACTTAAAGGGTCATTCCGCTTTTTTGTAAGTCGAAATTTTTTTTTTTTGCTCAAATTTGTGAAAACTTTACACCAAAACGTATCTGACTGAAAGTTTTAACTAAAAGAATCCAGCCGTTAATTTTTAAACGTCAAAAATATTTCAAAACATTACGTAAGGTTTTTAAGTTCGTTATGCCTTTTGGAAGCTGTTAGAAAACTATTGTACGGATTTGAGTAAAATAAATTCCGAATTGCAGAGAAATATGTCTAGATGAGCTTTGAATCCATATGGAAACGGACATTAACTCGTCATCTACCAACCAACAAACTGTTATACTATGGACAGGCTAAGGTTAGCAATGAACATAATACAGTATATAGATATATATGAGGTAAAAATATGTTTTTATCATTGAAATGAATTCAATATGCCAAATCTACGTATGCTTCGTATGCTTAAAAAAACATCTCGAAGTTATTTTCATTTAGCCCTAATATAAAAATTAAAGCCCCATTTACATCACAAAACTTATCTGTTCTCAGAACAGTCCCGAGAAGGGAACAGATGAAATAATGGTAGCGTAAACCGTTGAGCGTTCTGCAAACGGTCACAATTTGAGACTACTGAGGGGAGGTACAGATAAAAAATGCCCTTGACCCTTTCCCGCAGCTTTCTGAAAACATACAAAATGGCTGTTTGAGTAAATGTTTTTATTTTGACCGGTCTGAAAATGTATGAGAAAACCAGACCGTTTACATAATAATTATGGAACTGTGCCTGGAAGGTTCATAATTTTTTTAGTGTAAATGGTGAAAATTTTGAGTTTTTTTTATCGCGTTCTGGTCTAGAAAGAGAACGCAACGCAATACTTCGTAGAGTCCTGACTACTAGGCAGTGGCGTCAACTACCATTAGAGACTGGTTGAACCAAGTCCACGAACACCCTTCCCAAGAAAAAATACAAGAGAGCTTACGTTAAGAAGATTTTCCATGCGGGAGGGGCCCAACCCACTTAAGTCCACGGACCTACTTGAGTCAGACATCATATTTCTAATATTCTGTAAATTGCTACGATCAGTGGTGTATTTAGGCGGTAATTTTTGTTCTCTAGGGTAGTAATACATAAATAAATACATAAATATCAAATTACGCAACAGGTGGTTCTAGTTAACGAAATTAGGTTTTCATCAGTTAAGTTAACATCTGTAAAATTATATGATAAGCGAGATATGTCAGTTAGAAATTTTAGAATAATTTTAACTACCTGCGATGATGCCATATGTTATGATTAACATCCATGCTTCAGTCACCAAACTACTCAGAACGAATCCTGTCAGATTCAGAACTGCACCAAGTATAACGCACGTTCTTACATTGAAGAGGTTGATAATCACACTGCCAAATATAGCTGAAATAATAACATATAGGGATTTGGGGGATTTTGCACCACTTCAAAAAAGAAAGAAATGTGAAAAATCATGGCTTTTAAAATTTCGTATCTTTTTGTTTTCTGATACTTTAAGTCTACATTGTAATCTAAATAGTTTTGTACTAAAGGGTCGTCCCAATAATGTTATTTTTAACCTATCAAAGTTGTTCTTGAAAAATAATGCGTTTTTTTTTTTATCTAGAAACGAGTTCTAAATGGCACGCTTTGATTGGTTAACAATAGGCCTAGTACCTTTGTGAGGAAACTTTTTAAAGGGGTATTCCGCTTTTTATTCTATACACATAGGCGTTTATTTGGCTCAAATTCGTACAGTAGTTTTCCTACAGCTCCAAAAAAGCATAACGAACTTAAAAGCGTAATGTTTTAAAATATTTTTGGCGTAAATTAACGACTGGATCTTTTTAGTTAAAACTTTCAGATAGGTTAGGGCACATTTCTCTTGATTTTGGTGTTAGTTTTCACAAATTTGAGCAAAAATAGAAATTCGACGTACAAAAAAGCGGAATGTCCCTTGAAATTATCATTGAGGTTAAAAATATATCAGAAAACACAAAAGATGCGAAATTTATCAATTTCATTCAACATCGTAGCATTACTGTCTTTTTTTCCATTAAATTAAGTACAGGGCGTAAACTTGTTTTGTGAAATAATTTAATGTGTCAAATTGTCAAAAGTATATTAAACAAATTACACGAAATAATGAAAGATAGCTTGCCAGGCAAGGTAATATACGCCCACTGGCAGCTTTGATTTTGAACATAAATATTTAGCAGTACAGTAACAATCACCAGAATGAAATATTCAACCTTCAGTCATACAATTCTTTTGAACTCTTAATTTAGCACAACACTGAATAATATTGAGTATGAGTTATTGCCCTAGTTCTTGAAAACGTGTTCAATCCTTAGCTCGTGAAAACTCTAGAAGGCAAATATTCAATCTTCAGGACTGAATAAAAAAACCGAGTTTTGTCAAAATCCAGAAAGAATCATGCCTTTAAGAGTATAAGAGCTAAATTTGAAAGCGTTTTCAAGAACAAGGGCAATAACTAATACTAAATATTTTTCAATTTTTCTGATTTTCGATAGGGTTTATCCTTGGGTGATTACAAACAACCATACCAAGTTTCATCTAAATCAGTCAAGAATTGTGCCTGGTAGAGCGTTTACGAGCGATTGTGGACGGACGGACCGACGGAATGGGGTGACGGCAATATACGCCCCCCATTTCATGTGGGCGTATAAAAACGAGGCATACTTCATTTTTTAGATGAACCAAATTTTGTTGAGAATAATAATAACCTTTATTTCACCTATACTGACCCCCAGTATGTTGAGATCTGTTTACCCATCAGATTTAGATTCTTTATCAAAAATACTTCTATAGCGACCAGGGCCGAAAATTGAAAGGTTGTTCCAATTTAACTATATTGTTGACGTAGGATGAAATATTGTATTGTGGTAATCATCCAGTCGCCTACATTTATAGGTCAATATGTAAAGGGGATAGTCTTGTTTTTTTTTCGTAGGTCGAAACATTTTTATGCTCAAATTTATGAAAACCGTACACCAAAATCTAGAGAAATGTCTTTTTAAACTTATCTGAAAATATCTTGCCGTACATTTTATAAAGTCAAAACTAGTTAAAAGTTTTACGTAAACATTTTAACTTCAATATGATTTTTGGTTGGTGTATGAAAAATAATGTACGAATTTTAGCAAAATAAACGGCAATTGAGACAAATATGCCTCCTTCAGGCCAAATACCTGAACCAAATAGCATATTTTTATGTACGATATACCATGTTTTTTTTATCAATATAAATTGTATATACTGTCCGTTGAATTATGATCAATATGTTTGGTTCTGACTGATAATTATACGAATATCCATACATTATGTGCTTCATTAAACTCATTGAGCCGTAACGCTAGTTCAGGACAACTCGTAAGGAAAATCGATAGTACTTATTGCCTTCATTATAAGGTCCAGATCAATCTAAAGAAAATTAGGTTACAATATCGTTTTGTTATTATTTGCTTTCAATTTGCATCATTCAAATTTTCAATCAGACGTCTGTGGTTTCTGCATTCCCACTAAAACTAAGTGTTAATGACGTCACAAATCGCGAGGGCCTTATGACATAAAGCATAGTTTGCGATTACTGAAATCATAAACACTTCGTTTTAGAGGAATTGAAGGAACCACGGACGTATGATTAAAAATCAGCGCAAACTGGCGCAAATTGATACTATTAGTGTCCCCGACACCCATACAAAATTTAGAAAACCTCTGTACAATCCCTTTAATTCAAAATATAGATGTTATGGTTCAAACATTTTACTAACTGTTCATCAGTCCACTTCTACCCTTGGTTCAAAGCCAAGAAACAGATAACTGTTATAACGGTTTCTATACAACTAGTTCTTATTATTGATTAATATGAAGAATTCTTACCGCCAAACACTGACACACTGGAAAATACTGATCCAATCCATGTTATCAGGGTTTCATCCTTATCTGGATAGGCATCCAATAACGCAGTATGTATTACACCTACACAGAAATATAGAGATCCGTTCACCAATATGGAAAAAAAGGAAGCTGCTAAGACAACCCATGCCCATCTGTCTAGTTTCTCCGTGTCGTCTTTTACCATACCTGAAAATAAAACACTGTAGTGCGAGTTCGTGGTCGAAAACATACGCTACATAATAATTATACAAGTTGATATAAGGTGGGGTAGTTTTACAAACTAACAAACCGCTGCTGTTTTTATGGGAATATTATTATGTGACTGACTCATAACTGACTTACTGATTAACTATATAAGTCGTAAGACTTGTGGTCGCCTAAATATTTCCGTTACCAGCTAAAAAACATTATAGCGATCATTGCGAATTTTTGGAATTAAAATCTGGCATCCTGTTTTCTTACAATTTAAAGGTATAAGTAACTGTATTTTAACCAACTGTATTTAAAGTCGAGTGCGCAGAGAAATAAATTAAACTGTATTCTATAACTAGAGGCCTCTTTTACACGTCTAAAACTATTATTTCTACCGTGTATTACTGTAGAAGGTTAACCTCGTTTTGAGACCGAATTAATAATAAATGACAAAAAATTGCCCACATTGCCAGTACACGTTTCCCACAAACCGATAGTTATTTGTACCTAACGACATCACACTTGCCTTTATTAGTTAATACGAGACCAGTCTGCAGATGCCGTGACCAAATTGTGGGAACAAACAATTGAAAGTGTTTTAAGTTTCCTTCACAATATCAAACAATCTTATTTGGGCTGCCCCTTGCGGTAGGGGTCAACAAACGTTAAACAGGACGAGATTTCACTATAATCCTGTTGATATGCATCAAATTACTCGTCTCGTCATGAGTATTCAAAAAATGTATCGTTTGTTAAACGTTCTACCTTAAATGGGATTGCTATGGTCAACAACATTGAATGGTCACGGACCTTTTGACAATATAGAGTCATATTCACCAACACAGTTAACATTATCCGAATGATTTTAGAATCGAACAATTTAACAATATTGACCTAAACAACTTTTTATAATAAAGGTTGAAGTCACTATTATAGTACAATTTATAATTATAGACCCACGACGTTAACATATCATTAAAGGGGCATTCCGCTTTTTAGTAAAACATTTTCACTATCAGAAACATCGTAAATTATACAAGAAAATATTTCTAAAGTATGCCATTTATAATTATATATCCACTTGATCAAACTGAATTTAAACGGTTAATTAAAAACTGAGAGTACTAATTGTTAATTTAGTTTTACCTATAGTTTCGGTGATATGCTTTATAATGGCTCTATATTATTAGTTGAAACCTTTAGAAAACGTATGCGACATTTCTCTACATTATAAGGCGTTTATTTTACTCAAATCTATACAGTAGTTTTCTAACAGCTTGCAAAAAGCATGACGAACTTTAAAAGGTTCGTAACCTTTTACGTAAAGTTTTAGTGTTAAAAAATTAGCGGCTGGTTTTTATTCGTGAAAACTTTCAGATACGTTATGGAATCCATTTCTATAGATTTTGGTTTATAGTTTTCAAAATTTGAGCAAAAAAAAATTTTCGACCTGCAAAAAAGCGGAACGTCCCTTTAAACAAATAATACAAATCTGAAAAACACTTACCGAACTCCGGCCAGTTCTTTGATGATGGTAGATAATTTGTTGATTGGTATAGTTTAGGCTACGTTAGACTGACTGGCTTCTGACTGTTTTTTTCCAGAAACAATAGTTTGAAGTCACAGCAATTCTTCTTTTTTCATCAATATCTGTGTCTAAACTGAATTCTATTGTAGAACTTTTTTTTTCTAATTCCAGCCTATCGACATCCTGTCCAAAGAATGGTTCTAAACAAATTTATTTAAGTATACTTCTACTGTGCACCCAGATGACTTCCTTTTAAGGAAATCTTCGTATCCTTAATACCAAATCTGAGTTCATCCCTGCGTTCATTTAAGACTCTTATCCGACTCATTATGTGGTATTACTCATGCAACGATGGGGCTCTCATATTATAGATAAGATGACATCGTTCCAGCTGTAGCCTAATTACTTAAAGGTGCAGTATGCAAACTTGTCATTACTTAAATGATGGAAATTATACAGGAAAATAATTCTAAAATATGCTATATATACTACTTTAAATCTACCATTCAGCAATTCTCGGCAGTTTGCATGTTGCAGAGCGATAGCGTAACTTTCACAGTGTGCCGTTTGTAAATCTACTAGATCCTGGATTTGTTTTGTAAGGATTAATGAAAAAATAGAATGTTATAAATGTTATATAAGTTATAAACCTCCTGACAAAGTACGAGTATTTCGCTATTATAATTTACATAATTTGGCATTTATTTTGCTTAAACCTGTACATTAGTTTTCCAACACTAACCAAATAACACTGCTACTGTAAAACGTTTACGTAAACCTTTTAAAAAATTAATGGCAGGTCTTAAGTTAAAACTTGCAGATAAGATAAGGTACAAATATCTTTCAATTTTAGTCTTTTGGAGCATCTGAATTTTCCAACCTACCAAAATAATCAGACTTCCTTTTTAAGATTGTATCATATTCAGTTTCAGTACAGACTAATATAACCTAGTATTTTATATGAATGAACTTATTTATTATGTCGATTTGCTCCACTTCCCCGCCTTAAAGGGACAGGTGTTCTATTTTGGGGGTCCATTTGAGTCTTGAACATAGTAAATAGTACTAGAAATGTACAAAAATCTCATAATTTCTTCAAAAATATCTCAAACAAAGGATTTATTTTCTATTGTATACACGGCAGTGTCTCATAAAAAGACGACTTTAAGGGAGGAAGGGGGGGGGGGGGGGGGGGGGTGTATTCAAACGCGTATAATTCTGGACACACATTTTTTACTGATTGGCTAAGGTAAACAATTCCCGATTCTCAGACTAAGATATGATTGGTCAAAAAACATGAATTGCACACATGTCCCTTTAATGTCGTTAAACTCTACTTCGTCAAGGGTGGTGTTATGCTCTACTTTATAAAATACAATATATTCACAGGCTATGCCTGTCAACCCCTCTCTCTTAACAAAAACAATTACAGGAAAATATATATCAACCAAAACTATATACATGTATACATATAACATACAATATACATTTGCTCTAGATGCTTCTCTCCTGGCTTCTAAATGTCCTTCAAAAATTTATGATATGTATATTTTCAATATGTTTTATATTACATATATACTCTCTCGCAACAAGGTTCTAAAAAGTTCTAAAAATAAAAGGACTACAATTTAAATTGCGTTCTACGTCCATTATATCTGTCTAAAATTTGACTAATGTAGACAGGCAACGCTATGCATGCAATGTTTATTGATCATGCGATAATGCGAAGGCCCTCCATTGTTTTGTTTTACACATACAGGGATTCTTGAAGTCATCGTAAATCCAACACATGTATTACGTGGACTACATGTGGACTCCGAAGTTTCTAGTTGTGGACTCCGAAATTTCGACTTGTGCTAAATATATTCAGAAAAATGAAAATAAATTTTTTATATGTGTGCCAAAGAGTTATGGAGAATTTGGCTTTTGTCATGATGGAAATTCTAATATAAGAGAATGCCCAGTTTGTCCTACGAAATAAACACACTGAAAGGCGTATCAATTTAGATTTAATATTTATAGCAATGTTTGTAACTTACCTAGTCAACTTTCGTATTATTCAATAGCCAATGTCATACTGACTCAGAACACTAGACCTATGCTTGCTATGTATGATATAATGAGCTCATTACTTACGGCCATAAAGTGACGCACACCGACATGGGAAAGCCCGCCAGCTGACTCACTGGCCTGTCTTGGAGAGAAGTGCGTGGTCTTCGTTGGTGTCAGTGATAAAAACATGTAATTTGGAACGACGTATACGGGGTCTCCGTCCAATTTCCATCAACACGAAGAATATGATATGGTATATTTTTTAGGTGAACGATGGAGGCTCACATACAGCTAAAAGGTTGAGATTTAAAAAAAGATTTATTACCGAAATAACATTCAGGCCTGCAATCATTTCAAAGTTAATTTTCGACGAAGTAGATTTTGACCGTCTTGGCGAAGGCAATGAAATCAGACATGCATAGCAGTAAAATGGCTGGACATGTTGCAATTGCTCGCGGATCGATCTAAAATTCGTGATAAATGAAAATAACGGATTTGAGCGTGTCTATATGGTACGGTATATTGAAATTTGATCGATTTCAACACACGGTTAGTTCACAATTTGTGCATGATTATTACCGACGTTTATGGGATACGTCTACATATTAATGATTTGACTAGTTGTTACTGATATATGATATAATTTGAACATGAAATGTACAATAGAAATTTCATTTCTGAAAAAGATTAGAAATCGGAGATAAAATAGTATTTTCAGTTGTTCCCAGTCACATATAGTGTATTTTGAGTATTTTGACCTGATTGGACCGATCAATATTGGTGTTCAACCACCACAAACCCGATATTAAGATGCTTTTTTATCCAAGCCCTCTGTTCGGAAGCATCTCAATGTGTGTCGCGTCAAGTCCCTGTGATTTCATGAACATCCGGTTCATTTCAAGATGTCAGCCTCCATGAGATGATTGTTGTCTTTAATGAGTTATGTGGTTGTCTTCATTTAGAAACAAACCAGTAACCATGTCATTCAATAATTCTATCATAAATCACAAAATCAAATGATTTGAATATAACATGATTAATTTGAGCACGAATTGTCGTCAATTGGGCCGAATTTGGCTGAAATACAAACGACACATTTCCAGTACGGTTGTACGTTGTGATGTGAAATGGAATTCCAATGGCAAGTTGATCTCATTCATTTTCATATTATGCCTTTACTGTCTTTCTGATCAATTCTAGTTTAGATTTGTAGTGCTGACAACCCTTACTTTAGGTATGTAGGCCATACATTATATAGCCAAGGTTCAGAACCGGTAAATAAGTCAATGAAAAACATTATCCAGTTTCCACATGTTTATTAAAAGTAATTTAATCAATATTTGTATTGCAGATTTTCCATGGTCTAGTGAAGTAAACACTACATTAAAAGATGTCTTTAAATTAGATAAATTAAGACCAATGCAGCTACAGACAATAAATGTGACTATGTCAGGAATAGATTGTATACTATTAATGGCCTCAGCTGGTGGAAAAAGTTTATGTTTTCAACTTCCTGCTGTTTTATCTGAAGGTATTGTTAAAAAAAACAGTCTAATTAAAGGGAAAGCTGCACCATTTTTTTGACCAATCATGCTATAATCTCAGAAACCAATCATTCATAGTGATTATGGAAACTGAAAGTGTGTTTTTGAATGAATATTTCGACTACCTATATAGTTAAAGTGGACTACCCATGTGTTTGGTTGGCACAAATATATTTGCCTGACTATTCGAAACATTGTGTCATAAACAAATTTGTTTATTTGGACACATTTCCTTTAAAACCTTTCATAATTTGTTTTGCTTATTGACTATGCTCTTAATTCTAGTCTTAGCAGTTATTGCTTCAACAACATTTGGGTTTTATTTACTTTCAGGAATAACTGTAGTTGTCTCCCCCTTGTTATCTTTAATGGAAGACCAATTAACTGCCTTAAAAAATTTAAATATTAACTCAGCAACATTCAATTCTTATACAAAATCAGCAGATGCCAAAAAAATTCTAACATCCATGACAGACCCTAATTCAACACTAAAACTTTTATATGTCACACCTGAAAAACTCTTAAAAAGTCAAGGATTTTTGAAGGAATTAGAAAAAATGTATGAAATGGGAAGATTTAGTCGACTTGTTATAGATGAAGTACATTGTTGTTCTCAATGGGGTCATGATTTCCGTCCAGGTTTGTTGTTTAACTGTAGTTGTTTATAGGGTTTTGTGGAGGAAAGCACTGGCCTTATCCATGTAAACCAAGAGCTAATCAATGGTTCTGTTCAAAACAATATACCATTATCACGATGACAATGTCAAGCTATTACAGACTTTGTCTTATACCTTGACTGCAATAGCCACCTTTCTTGTATCACGGAAGTTGGTAAATACAGTTGTATTATTCACTCTCCTATCAACCTGAGCTTAGGCTGTATCATTAATTGTGTTCACAGCTTACTGTTGAAATTTAAGTCTTCTTCTCAATGTGTCGCTATAATGATCTGAGTTTTAACATGGTGAAAACCAGTAAAGATAGAAACAGAAAGTGAAATTTCTACTACTGTATGTATATTTCTAGGACTATTTACATAAGTTTAAGCCTGAAAAATTCACATTGCAGATTAATTACATTTCATGTTATTTACAGGTTTCAGATATTTAGGTATTATAAAGAAACAATTTCCAACAGTACCTATATTAGGTTTAACAGCAACTGCTACCCTGAAAGTTTTAGATGATGTTAAAAATATCCTCAATATACCTCATTGTCAGTTATTACGGACCTCGTTTAATAGACCTAATTTATATTATGAGGTTAAATTAAAACCACCAACTAAACTTCAAACTATGAAGGAAATAACGAAGTTAATTAAAAATAAATATAACAATCAATGTGGTAAGCAATTTTGATTCAATTTTTTTTTTTTTATGATAATTTTCATCTCCATTGTAATCTCACTAGCTTTCTACCAAAATCTTGTTCTAATGGTGTTATCTTCAACCAATCAAAGCATGTCCTGTGGAAACTGTGTCTTGATAACAAGGACGTATTGTGGCAGTGTGACAACGTATGAAGGTTAAGTAGTTGTATATATAGGTTTGGTTTGCATTTGTCTGTCTTATGAAATAATAGTACTTAATTTCTGTTAACAGGTATTGTTTATTGTTTCACAAAGAAAGATTCTGTAAATGTTACTGTTGATTTACAGAAGGCAGGTATAGCAACAGGATGTTATAATGCCAACTTAACAGCAGTTGAGAGATCTCGGGTTTATAATCTTTGGACACAGGGTCAGATCCAGGTTAGTTTTCCAGTCATCCAGTCTCTAGTCTTATGTAATTAAATTAAGATTACAATTTCTGTACTTTTTGTGATATCATCTACATTATAGTCTAACAAGCTTTCTACCACAGTTGTATTTTAATGATATTATCTGTCCAATCTAAGCATCTTCTGTTGGACCAAATTCTCCATTGTTATGAGGAATCAGGGGAAAGTCAAACCCAAAGAGGAGCAATATCACAGCCACTATTGCTATCCCAGAATTCATCATATTTTTTTGCCATTTTTAATTTAAGCTACACATGTGACATAATGTTACTGAGTTATTGCCCTTGACAAAATTGATGAATTTATCAGTCATAACACTTCAGAGTTCAGCGAACACAAACTATACTTAAATTAAATTAGAGTCCCCTCCTCCACAGTATAAACTAAAAAAGATATGGACAAAAACCCAAGTTATTCTGAAGGTATATATTGAAGTTTCTCTCTGGGTATCTAATATTTTCTGTGGCTTCTATCTGCTTGTACCATAACCTGCATTCTTGGGGGTATGATTTCAGAAAATAGGAAAACATCTGAGAATCAAAGGTTTTAATCCGAGCAGTTTGGTCATCTCATTTCGTGGGTCGTTGAAACTTGGCATATCATCGTTGTTCAATGCTTTTCAAAGTATTGTCTGTTCTATGAGATCTTTAAAATTTGTTATTTGTTGAGGTTTTGCATGATAAGGTACCATATTTCAAGGTTCTTTGGACAATTTTCTCAAATAATACCCTCAAGAATGCAGGCTTTTGTCCATATCTATTTTAGCTTAGGCTGTTGGAGAAGTGGGCTCTAATTTCGAAACACCTGGTATATAAACTGCAACACATTTAATTATATAGATTGAAAATTGTAGGTTGTGGTAGCAACTATAGCATTTGGTATGGGAATAGATAAACCTGATGTAAGATTTGTTATACATCATTCTATTAGTAAATCTATAGAGAATCTATATCAAGAGAGTGGTCGAGCTGGTAGGTTATTCTGTAGTCTTTTTAATCTACAATAACTTATGCAATACAATTGTATAGCCAACTACTTCAAACAACAAAACTAACAAAATTTCAATCAGAGTGCAATCAGGTGGAGAGGATCCCCTATAGTATGTATAATATCATAGCATAACATTATGCTTGCCATGGGTAAGAGCCTGCTTGGATGGGACAATACTACAAGCTGTGACAATAAAAAAACAGATTGGAAAAGAGTATTCATTAAAGGGATTGTAAAGAGGTTTTCAAAGGTTGTTTCAGGAACATTGATAGCATCAATTTGCATCATTCCAATTTTCAATCAGACGTCTGTGGTTCCTGCAATTCCACTAAAACTAAGCATTTTATGATGTCACTAATCGCAAAGCCCTAATTCGATAAAGTATATTTTTGTGATTAGTGATCATAAACAATTAGTTTTAGTAAAATTGCTAAAAACTACAGATGTCTGATTTAAATTTAGGGAGATCACATTGAATAATTTTATGGTATAGCATAATTAAATATATTAAATAATGGAAATGAGTAGACTTATGTCACTGTACTGTCAAAATTTTTCTGACTTTGCTTTTTTCCAGTCTTTATTAACTCAATCAGAAACATAATATGGAAATCCAATGCTATGTTTATTGTAGGTAGAGATGGGAAGGCCTCAGATTGTATATTATATTATAGATTATCAGATTTATTACGTATTGGACAGATGGTAGAGGATGAACATCTTGGTGTAGGAAATCTTCATGATATATTAAACTATTGTTTAACCAATGACAGGTAATCATATTTCTTCTGCAATGATGATTGATGTTGTTAAATCATATGAAAGAAAATTTGTTCTACATAATATCTTGATCATTGAGTGACAAAATATTTCTAATAAATTGGATGAGCTATTAGCTTTTAATATATGTAATTATCTTTAGGTGCAGAAGATCAGTATTTGCTGAATATTTTGGTGAAGATTGGAATCTTAATGATTGTCATGAGATGTGTGATTATTGTAGACCATCTGAAGAATGTAAGTATAGATGTTACTCTACTTTGTTATATCTTCATTTTATTATGGACATTATTACTCTACATTGTTATAACTTTATATTTTATTATAGACAATATTACTCTATATTGTTATAACTTAATATTTTATTATAGACAATATTACTCTATATTGTTATAACTTTATACTTTATTATAGACAGTAGTACTCTACTTTGTTATAACTTTATATTTTATTATAGACAATATTACTCTATATTGTTATAACATAATATTTTGTTATAGACATTATTACTTTACATTGTTATAACTTTATATTTTATTATAGACAGTATTACTCTATATTGTTATGACTTAATATTTTATTATAGACAGTATTACTCTATATTGTTATAACTTAATATTTTATCATAGACAGTATTACTCTTCATTGTTATAACTTTATATTTTATTATAGACAGTATTACTCTATATTGTTATAATTTAATATTTTATTATAGACAGTATTACTCTATATTGTTATAACTTTATATTTTATTATAGACAGTATTACTCTTCATTGTTATAACTTAATATTTTATTATAGACAATATTATTCTACATTGTTATAACTTTACATTTTATTATAGACAGTATTACTCTATATTGTTATAACTTAATATTTTATTATAGACAATATTACTCTATATTGTTATAACTTTATATTTTATTATAGACAATATTACTCTACATTGTTATAACTTTATATTTTATTATAGACAGTATTACTCTTCATTGTTATAACTTAATATTTTGTTATAGACATTATTACTCCATATTGTTATAACATAATATTTTGTTATAGACATTATTACTTTACATTGTTATAACTTTATATTTTATTATAGACAGTATTACTCTATATTGTTATGACTTAATATTTTATCATAGACAGTATTACTCTATATTGTTATAACTTAATATTTTATCATAGACAGTATTACTCTACATTGTTATAACTTTATATTTTATTATAGACAATATTACTCTATATTGTTATAACATAATATTTTATTATAGACAGTATTACTCTATATTGTTATGACTTAATATTTTATTATAGACAGTATTACTCTATATTGTTATAACTTAATATTTTATCATAGACAGTATTACTCTTCATTGTTATAACTTTATATTTTATTATAGACAGTATTACTCTATATTGTTATAATTTAATATTTTATTATAGACAGTATTACTCTATATTGTTATAACTTTATATTTTATTATAGACAGTATTACTCTTCATTGTTATAACTTTATATTTTATTATAGACAATATTATTCTACATTGTTATAACTTTATATTTTATTATAGACAGTATTACTCCATATTGTTATAACTTAATATTTTATTATAGACAATATTACTCTATATTGTTATAACTTAATATTTTATTATAGACAATATTACTCTACATTGTTATAACTTTATATTTTATTATAGACAATATTACTCTATATTGTTATAACTTAATATTTTGTTATAGACATTATTACTCCATATTGTTATAACTTAATATTTTATTATAGACAATATTACTCTACATTTTTATAACTTTATATTTTATTATAGACAATATTACTCTATATTGTTATAACTTAATATTTTATTATAGACAATATTATTCTACATTGTTATAACTTTATATTTTATTATAGACATTATTAATCTACATTGTTATAACTTTATATTTTATTATAGACAGTATTACTCTATATTGTTATAACTTTATATTTTATTATAGGCAGTGTTACTCTATATTGTTATAACTTTATATTTTATTAAAGGCAATATTACTCTATATTGTTATAACTTTATATTTTATTATAGACAATATTATTCTACATTGTTATAACTTTATATTTTATTATAGACATTATTACTTTACATTGTTATAACTTTATATTTTATTATATGTTACTAATGTTACTCTATATTGTTTTAATTTTATATTTTTTTATAAACATTATTACTCTATGTTATAACTTTATATTTTATTATAGACAGTATTACTCTACATTGTTATAAATTTATTTAAATTATAGACGATATTACTCTATATTGTATACCTCTATATTGTTATAACTTTATATTTTATTATAGACAATATTACTCTATATTGTATACCTCTACATTGTTATAACTTTATATTTTATTATAGACAATATTACTCTATATTGTTTAACTCTATATTGTTATAACTTTATATTTTATTATTGACAATATTACTCTATATTGTTTAACTCTATTTTGTTATAACTTTATATTTTATTATAGACATTATTAATCTACATTGTTATAACTTTATAATTTATTATAGGCAATGTTACTCTATATTGTTATAACTTTATATTTTATTATAGGCAATGTTACTCTATATTGTTATAACTTTATATTTTTTATAGACATTATTACTCTATGTTATAACTTTATATTTTATTATAGACAGTATTACTCTACATTGTTATAAATTTATTTAAATTATAGACAATATTACTCTATATTGTATACCTCTATATTGTTATAACTTTATATTTTATTATAGACAATATTACTCTATATTGTATACCTCTACATTGTTATAACTTTATCTTATTATAGACAATATTACTCTATATTGTTTAACTCTATTTTGTTATAACTTTATATTTTATTATAGAAAATATTACTCTATATTGTTTAACTCTATTTTGTTATAACTTTATATTTTATTATAGACAATACAGTACCAATAGATGTAACTCTACATTGTTATAACTTCTTACTACTAGTGTATGATACAATGGTATTAAAGTTACAAATCACATCGTTACAGTTAATAGATGCATGGTTTGGTCGAGGTAATCATGCTCATTTAGCAAAAGATATACACCCTAAAGGGTTAACCTTGGTAGAAGCGGAAAGGATTATTGGTTACATGATATTAAAAGGATATCTTAGACTAAAGTATCATGATTATGATAAGGTTCTTTTCAGTTGTTTTCTGCCAGGTAAGAACAAAAGATGTTTGTTTTTTTGTATTGTCTTGAGCTTCTAGCCTGTGTCATTGTTTAATGAGCTCAATATGAGTTCTATAATGAGAAATCGGGATACTTTTGAGATTGATAATCCTATGTCTAGCTTGTCACTAATAGTGTTCACAGCTCACCATCTAAATTTAAGCCTTCAAATCCATGTGTGTCCAAAAATTTTCCTCATTTAAAAGACTATAAAGAAAAGACCTTTATAGAAAAAGGAAGAGAAATTCCATTTCTAGTGTTTCTGATCACAATTTACATATATTCAACACTCAAATCAACAAATATTATTCAAATTTTTTTAAGAAAGATTCATAAATGTAGGTTTGTGCAGATTTCAATCTTTTTTTTCAGGAAAGAAAGCCAAAGAAATTCTGGATGTAAACTCTATTGTGTTAAACATGCGAGTGAAAGGAGAAGAGAAACAAACAAACATTACTAAACAGAATTCCATAAAAAATGGCCAAACATTACAGAACACACGTGCCAAATTAGTTGAAGCATTCAATACTAAAAACAGTCAAAGGAAAAGAGAACAAAGGGAAAAAATTTCATGAAAAATTAACAAAAATTATTAGAAGAGATATAACAGATGGTTGTAGGTGATAGGTTCACGTCTGTTTACAGCTAACCGACATCGCAGACTGATAACTAGTACCTGATTGGTTAATGAATGGAAGTAAATGTGGGTGTGAAGGATTAACCAATCAGACATCTGAAACACTGGAAATCTTTTTGCATTAAGTAAATGGAAAAGCCTTTCATGAACAGTGTTTTTTCCAACACCATCATGCTGTGGGTCCATGCAGTACTGCTCAAAGAAGCAAGAGAATGGATACAGATCACATGAATTTTCTGCTGGTGCTCATTTCATCATTCCATTGTGCCTTGTAGAGGAAATCCAAGATGGATGTTTCACTTGGAATTTTATTTTTTGGATTTTGTAGCTATGAACCAAATTGTCTACCAAAAACATTGTATGCATCAATATATAATGTTGTTGGTAGTTAAAAGACAATTAAAGCATCTAAACACAACTTTATTTCAAGATAAAGCTGTATGCATCATACAAAAAACAATGAAGTTACTCATAATTTTCTTTTGTTAGTCTATGTTACTGTACTTAAGATATGAAATGTACTTCTAGTCTGATAAAAGTATTTTATATCAGGAACTGTCATTCATTCCACATTTCTACCTCTGAAATTGAAAACCTGCCATTCTTTAGTTAATCATTGCCATTTGAGAACAGACCACAACAAATTAATAAAGTTCTTTTTTAAAACCCATATGAAATTATGTTTGGTTCTTTTTTGAAAATAAAACACACAAATGTAGTTCACAACCATTTTAAATCACTGCCTCGACTTAAGTCGAATTTTGAAAAAGGCTACAGTATTTCAACTAAGCCACTTAAAATGCCTTACAATATAATTTGGAGGCTTAGTTGAAAGACTGTAGCCCTTTTCAAAATTCGACTTAAGTCGAGGTAATGATCAAATATGGTTGTGTGTTTTACATTCTATGTAAGAGCCAAACATAGTTTCTCATGATGGAAAACCATAAAAGATCTTTAAACAATTCCAAAATCAGGATTCAAAGTCAGAATCTGAATCAATACAAATTGTATTGGAATTACCATTAGATTTAGATTTTAACCCATTATCACCATCACTAGATATATTGAGTTTCTTTTTAGCTGGACTAGGATCACCAAAATCTAAATCACTATCATCACTGTCAATTAATAAAGATTTTCTTTTCTTTTTCATAGAGTTATCCTTCTTGAGATTACTAGGAGCACTTTTGACGTCTGCTGTAATGGATGTCAATTGAGAATTTTCCCTATTAATCACACAAATCTTAGGTTTTTCTGAAAAGCTTTTCCGTTTTTTAGTAGAACCTTCCAGCCTTTTTGATGGTTTAGTCACACCTATTGCCTTGACTTTAATGTCCATCATAACACTTTTAGTATTTCCACCTAATATTAAATTAGCTTTACGACCTGAAATGACATGAATTTAAAGATTTAGGTCTTTACAGCAGATTGATATTTAAGAAAAAGACTTCTTATCTTTTAAGCACTAACAAAACTCAGGGAAATACCCCCACAAGAGCTGAATGGCAGGAGAACAAAATTGTTGAATTTTTGTTCTAAACATTTCTTCAAATAACTGACATTGAGCATTAATACAGACTGGAATAATATTTTCATTAAAGGGACAGGTGCGCCATTTTTGGGAGTCTTGGAAAATATTTAAATAGTCTTCAGAACTACTAGAAATGTATGAAAATCACATAATTCCTTTAAAAATATCTCAAACTAAGAATTTTACTCACTATTTTTATAAACGTCTTTTCTATATATCACAAGTAGTCATTTTAACATAACATTCAAACGCGGATAATTCTGGACACACATGGATTTGAAGGCTCAAATTTCGACGATGAGCTGTGAACACTATTGCTGATTAGCTTAGCTAAAAAAAATCCTGTGCATCTGTCCCTTTAAGCTAGAAACGACATCCAAATTTCAATAATCATAAATGTATAATTGCCCACCTAGATATCCTAAAATAGTCCATGTCAGCAAGTACACAAGAAAGTTTCTATTCTTTGCTACAATTGAGCCGTGCCTTACCATGTTTCATATAACTTATAGTAGTGTAAGCAGTAAAATGGAACTCTTCTTTCAAATAATCATTTAATAACATAAAACCAATGATCTTTTCAGCTTTCTCTACTGTAATATTCTTCTCTTTAATATCTGAAACACGCAGTGATGCTGGACCCTTACCAAACCAAGCGTCTATTAATTTTAATGCTGTCAGTTTCTGGTCTGTTTCTGCTGCTTGTTGTAATATTAGTAAGATGTTTCGACAATGTGTGGTCATGTCTACAGATGTTGAAGTATCTAAAAATAAAATAATTTAATTAAAATGCAGAACTGGATGTTTGGTGTCTTTTTTCTGAGGGTTACTCTATAGTCTATATGCCATAGATAATCCGTTGACATTCTTTTTAAACTTGTGTTCAGGCAAAAGTTGTCATAATCAAAAGCACTGTTAAAACTGGGCTGCCAATACAAGTAAATGAATACTCTTAGAGTATTTCAATGATCATAGATGACAATTGACGTAAGTCACACAAAAACAGTTGAACATCCTCATTCTCACTCTTTTGTGACTTAATTAAGAGAGTCCACATAGTTAAAAAGGCTTATTTGGTGTATATTTTGTATACTTGATTGAGGAAAATACTTACAAACTGAATTTGGATCACAATGATCACACATTCCATTACAATGACTGCTATCCCATAATTCACCAAAATGTTCTGCTATCATTGATCTTCTGCATCTTCAACAGAAAAATTATATTCAGGCATTTAATTCAATGTGCTACAAATAACTTCAGTGTATCAAAGGCTGAAACTCTATTATCCTTTGTAGAATTGTATTGAAATTTGAATTTGTCTAAGATATTGTGGATATAAACCTATATACCATATTTGATTAAAATCACATAAAAACTGTGGCCTCTATTGTGTTCACAAGTCAATCATGGAATTGACAGGGGCAATATACTTCCATATTAGAATGTGGGTTTATAAAAAGCAAATTATACCTTTTGACATTAAGGCAATAGGCTAAAATACCATATAGACATTTTAAACCAGTTTGTTCTGTAAAAACCATACAACTCTGTCGAAAAACATCAGCCAATCGATAATATACAATACAACATGACTTCTTATCATCTCTACCTAAAATAATATACAATACGTGACTTCTTATCATCTCTACCTAAAATAATATACAATACAACATGACTTCTTGTCATCTCTACCTAAAATAATATACAATACAACATGACTTCTTATCATCTCTACCTAAAATAATATACAATACAACATGACTTCTTGTCATCTCTACCTAAAATAATATACAAGACAACAGGACTTCTTGTCATCTCTACCTAAAATAATATACAATACAGCATGACTTCTTATCATCTCTACCTAAAATAATATACAATACAACATGACTTCTTGTCATCTCTACCTAAAATAATATACAATACAACATGACTTCTTGTCATCTCTACCTAAAATAATATACAATACAACATGACTTCTTGTCATTTCAACCTTAAATAATATACAATACAACATACTTCTTATTATCCAGACCTAAAATGTACATGAATATCTCAAACAAGCAGCTTTCCTAATGCATTTTCAGCGTATCCAGGGTTGAAAATCAATATTTGAATCGTACCCAAATTCTTACTTGTCCAAGATATCATTGTAAATATAAACACCAAATTTTATAATATTCTGACAAAAACTGTTGCCTCACAAGCCACTGATTCCAAACCCCTACCTATCTCATATATTTCAAAATTCATGATCAAATCTGGAGATTTGCAGTCTCTTGAAGTAAAAAAGATGTCCTCCAACTAAAAGGTGGTAGCAAAGATATTCTGATCAAGAAGAAAAATCAATACATGCATAAATAACATGTCAGGATAAAAGAATAACCTACCAGCTCGACCACTCTCTTGATATAGATTCTCTATAGATTTACTAATAGAATGATGTATAACAAATCTTACATCAGGTTTATCTATTCCCATACCAAATGCTATAGTTGCTACTACAACCTACAATGTATCAACAACACCATCACATTCTACAGCCCAGTAAACATCCTGGGGCTATTGAAAATATAAACAAAACAATCCACATTATTTAGGGGTAATTCAAATAGTTATCATAGTCTCCATATTTTTTTGTATGACTTGCAATGCCATGCAGTGTTCAATGACGGAAATTCTACCAGGAGAGCAGCATAAACCTGTTCTCTGACAATGTCAAAGAAATACCAACAATTAATTTGTTTTGATTTGTCATTCCATCAAATCAAACAGCAGAAATATAAAATCTGAAGGTATCAAAGTGACCAAAACAGGGGTCAAACATGGTAAAAATAATTGTAAATGCATGATAAAAATATTAACCTACAAGAATCTTTCCCTTGCTCCATTTCTCATGTACTCTACTGCGTTCAGGTCCTGTAAGATTGGCATGGTAACATCCAGTAGGTATACCATTCTTCTGTAAATCTATGGTTACTTCTTCACAATCTTTTTTAGAAAAACAATACACAATACCTATAAATAATAACATGATAATAAGTTATCACCTTCATAAGAAAAAATATGTGACCAACCACCAAAAAATCTCAGTATAATGTCTAAGAATTATTTTGTTTGACATAAAATTTAATTTAAATGTCAACTACTTATTCAATTAAAAGCTGCAAGATTTACTTTTAAGCAATTTACTAAAAAATATGGTGGCATTATCAAGAAACTGATATACATCTATGAAAAATTATGTCATTAATGATACTGCTGATAGTAAAACTAAAATCTATAAAGTTACCTGATTGCCCACTGAACCTGGTTTGTATCAATGTCTTTATCTCTGTCATTGTATCTGAGAAACTTGAAGGTTTAGTTCGGATCTGAAGATACAAAAAATAAATTTTGAATGTATGGTATAAGGACATTGACTGCATTAAAGCATTAAACAATCCTCATTTACATTATAATCAGATTATAAGATATATGAGGTTATATAACTTTATCTTATAATATAACAAAAAGTAAGATATAAGTTTTTAAATTTACCTCATAATATAAATTAGGTCTATTAAACGAGGCCCTTAATAACTGACAATGAGGTATATTGAGGATATTTTTAACATCATCTAAAACTTTCAGGGTAGCAGTTGCTGTTAAACCTAATATAGGTACTGTTGGAAATTGCCTTTTCATAATTCCTAAAAACTTGAAATCTGAAAATGTAAATATGCAAAGTAATAAAATGGAGAGTAATTTTTTGTAATCGTATTTAGGCATCACATTATCAATATTATTAACATTGGCAACCTTAAATCAAAAACAGCAATGCCAACCATTATAGCATCTTTATCAACTATTCCAATAACCTGTCAAACTTAAGTGGTTTCTGTAACTCCAGAAAGCCTGGGCAAAGCTATGAAGATATTATCACTAATATCTTTAAAGTCTAATGGTTTAAGCACTAGTTTCAGAATAGTTTCTGGAATATCAGGAATAAGAGGATTTAACACCTCTATTGTATCATTCTATCATTTTCAAAATAGCTTTTAATTGATAAAATCATAACAGTAAGGAATTCATCAAACCTGGACGGAAATCATGACCCCATTGAGAACAACAATGTACTTCATCTATAACAAGTCGACTAAATCTTCCCATTTCATACATTTTTTCTAATTTATTCATAAATCGTTTACTTTTAGCCAGTTTTTCAGGAGTGACATATAAAAGTTTTAGAGTAGAATTCGGATCTGTCATGGCTGTTTGAATAGTTTTAGCGTCTGCTGTACTGGTATTAGAATTGAATGTTGTTGAATCAATATCGAGGGTCTTTAAAGCCATCAATTGATCTTCCATAAGAGATATCAAAGGTGAAACAACTAGTGTTATTCCTAAAATAAATAAAAAAGTTCTCTGGTGCAACAGGCTGTAACAAAATAAAAATCGTTTGACAGATGGAAGTCAAAAAATAGTGGGCTAATATCAATACAATAGTAGTCAAAATTTCCCTCACTGCATGGTGTTGCCTGTTTTTATTTGCCTAAATGACTGCAGAAAATCCAGATGTAAAACTACATTTCATATCATTTTTAATATGAAATTTCTGTAAAACTTAACCAGATCATGTCACAAGTGCAAATACCATTGACGCTAAATGGAATAGCCAGAATATTTAAATGCAATTCAAACCTTTAGATAAAACAGCAGGAAGTTGAAAACATAGACTTTTTCCTCCTCCAGTAGGCATGATCAACATACAATCTTTTCCTGCCATTGTTATGTTCATTGTCTGTAGCTGCATTGGTCTTAATTTATCTAATTTAAATACATCTTTCAATGTAGTGTTTAACTCTTCTGACCATGGGAAATCTATATGGAATAAGTTTTCAAAATAGTCTTCAAATAGAGTCTTTATATTTAAAAAAAAAAGTTAGGGACACCAGTTAAGAATGAAAAAAATTGAGGAAATGGAAAATCAGAGAGTCAAGGGGGCAAAAGGCTCCCATGTTGGGTACAAGGGGAGATTTTACCATTATAAGATGATTTCCTAGATTTTTTCATCCCTTAAACCAATTTTTTAGTGATCTTGCTTGAAAATAATATAATATCACTGTCCAGAAAAATAGAAAAAGTCTGGGATCTCTGGACAGTTTCACAAAACTTTAAGCAACAGATTCCATAGATGAAAACTCTCTCATGCATTTCATTTAAAGGTTTCAACATAATATTTAGAACACTTTTTTTCTGGTCTAGGACATCAACCATTTCCTTACCTTCTTTAGACCAATCACTGTTAACATTTTTAGAGGTTTCATTATGCTCTTGGATAATTTGCTCCAAGGATTTTTTCTTCTCTAATAAATCTGACTGTCTGGTTAATAAATCTTCTATTAATTTTCCTACTTCATTCAATTCTTCCTTCACCTCCTTCAGATTTTCTTTGTAAACTGCAAATGCATAGAAGGCAAATTCAATGAGATAAGATGATTGACTGAAACAATTTTTCTCTTTTGCTCTAAATGACAGGGCTAATGAAGCCATCTAGTATACAATGAAGGGATTTTCGGCAGGATCAGCTAACTCGTTTTTTTTTTTTTTTTTTCCTTAATTAAGTACTTAATTATTGTACGCAACTACATAATTACGTGTAGTTTGAAGCTCATAATGTTGTCTCCCTTTAATCTCGTGAAAATGTCATAATAACGACTTTTCTTAGAATGTCTTCCGGATCAGTAGTCAAAAATACAAATTCCATTTGCTTAAATACCTTCCATCCTGATTCAATGCTTTGCACTGGGCTGCTTTGTTGATGCAATTGAATAATATTATTGTAGTTCTCTTTGAACTCTGGCTGTGTTACTAGAGGCTGACATCTTGAAATTCCCCGGTTGTTAGAAATATAGTCTCACAGTACTCGTCATGTTGTGATATAAATATCAAGATTATGCACCGTTTAAATATATATAACTGAAATTGAATACTGTGCCTGTAGCTATGTGTGCCTGTAATGAGGGTGCCCGATGAGATAGATTGTTCTAAGAAAGTTTCTTGACGGCAATTTTATTAATTTACAAGGCTTAAGGCTTATTTGAAAAAAAAAATCAATTTGAAGTTTCAAAATCATGAATTTACGCACTTTGGAAAAATCTCACCAAATCTCCAGATTTTTTTCTTTACCTGTACATATGTATGCTTGACCCCAGTTTTATAGATTTAATCCATTAAAGGAATAATATATTCTCTTAGAATGGACATACAATTTACCGAAAATACTTTCGGTCATATGGTTAACGAAGGAATACGTAGAAAGGGTTATAGTCAACTTGGCACTTAACCGTATTGGTCCCCAAAAATATGGCCCCAAAAGTCAAAGTTTGACAAAAAGGCTCCAATTTCAATAGTCAAAATTGCCCTTAAGATTACTTTTTGATTTCAACCAAAATCATTGGCCAAAAAAGTCCCCTCAAAATGTCAAAATTGTTTATTTTAATAATTATAATTGGTAGCTTATATAGCGATCATCAAACACTAATAATAAAAGTTTGTAGGTTTATAATCCGATAGAAATATGACCAAAACATCTGCGGTGTACGCAGATATAAAGACTTTCACGTACGGCAAAAACGTGTTGTTATAAATCGACTTTATCCCTTTGAAAGCACTTCATAAACCTAAATCAATTAGTATTTAAAAATTTCGGTATGTTTGCAGAAGTCATATGGAAACATTACTTTGTTTTGTAAACGCTGATAGAGCTAAAAAATAAAAAAAAAGCTTTTAAAGTAATTATATCGAAATTTCGTGTTTTTCATTTCCTTCAATCCTTTTAAGATAAAAATAAAAAAAAAATACATATCAATAACTGAGAAATACGAATTTCAAGGGACGATGGATTCGGAAATTTGAATGAAGGATAAACACCTAAATTTGGAAATAATTTGTAATCTGTCGTCAAATACTTAGTAAATGAACACATTTTTGACGAAATATATTTAAAATTTGATTTTCAAACTTCTTTAAAAACTCCCTTTAAGTAAAAATTTTACACTGCATGTTATATAATATAGGCCTACTGTATATAGCTATGACACCAGTCTTGAAATAAGTATTCCCTGAAATCTAACTTAGAATTCGATTAATCTTAATGACATGATACATTTAATGAAGAAATATCTGCTCCAAGGATGAATGGGCATTGTTCAATAGTTCAAGTCTACCGACCAGTGGCGTACGCAGGATTTATTCATAGGGGGCCGGACCGAAGGTGCAAATTCGATTGCAGAGTATAGCGGCATGGGAGGTTTCAGTTGAGCTGGTGACACCGTATCTTTATAGCTCTCAGAAATATTATAGAAAGAAAGGCACATTCTTGTATGTAACTGAATTTTCCAGTCATCCAGTGGGTGCCCACGACCTAGGAGAAAATTAATTTTAAATTAAAAACTTCAATTTTCACTTGGGTGATCTATAGGGCGACCGATACCTTTAAACCAATCAAATTTAATGTCAAAGCAAGTCCCTTCAGTGGTGGTCCGCCATTTGTACTGATCACATGATATGATCGACGAAATATACGCACGATAAAATTCGCTACCTCTGCCCATTCGTAACGGTGCGTCTGTGAGTGGAGATGAGTCCCAAAACGAACGAATGGTCTTCCTGTCCCTCAACCATAAATTGTTAGAATAGTGCGCAAAATTTCGGCGCTTTTTGTTGTTCTCGGATGCCAAATTGTGCCTATTTCACGTCCATTACAGACATTCTACTCAACCAAGCTTCACAATTAGTTGGGGGGGGGGGGGGGGGGGGGGGGGG